TTGTCAGATTAGCACAATGTGTTGTACATATGCAGGTGCATTTCGGTCATGATCTGCTTTGAATGTATATGTCACTCAAATATGAACGGAACGGGGACGTGTCATTGACAATGACTTGTTCCTTTTTTAATTTTGTTTGTAGGTTACCATTGCCTACACATTACTTAAGCTAACACTATTGTAGCATTGGATTCTTTTTTTAAATTCTTTGATACATATGTTATTTTGGGCAATAGTAATACTGTAAAGAGTGCATGACCAGAATTACCAATTAACAATGTATTTATTTGATTAGAATCGGTCATCACAGCACCAGTGATGATTCATCAGCTTATCGATCAGTAGATGAAGTTCACTACTGGGACAAACAAGATCACCCAATCAGCAGGCTTAGAAATTATATGATGTCCCAGGATTGGTGGGATGCAGATAAAGAAAAGGCATGGATGGTAGAAACAAGAGAAAATGTAAGTCTGTGTGAAACAAGGATATATGTTTTGTGCTGTGTATATTTGACTGATTATGTTCAAGTTTTTAATATTCATTATACATCATGTCATAGATATACAGATATATTGGTTTGACGATCCTATTCAAAATGGCCGAATGGTGGCCATTTTTGTGCTAAAATAATCATCAAATATCAAGCATTCTTGGCATTTATGGATGGATTTCGTTCAAACTTGGTACATACATTAGACATTAGGGCTTCTGATGCACGTCATTTTATTTTTCAGATCGGATTCAAAATGGCTGACTAGCAGCCATTTTGTTTTAATGAATGGGCTTCTAGACCCATATCTCTGACTTGCTTTGACTGATTATGTTCAAATTTTCAGTATTCGTTATACATCATGTCATAAATATACAGATATATTGGTTTGACAATCCTATTCAAAATGGCCGAATGGTGGCCATTTCTGTGCTAAAAAATCATCAAATATCAAGCATTTATGGATGGATTTCTTTCAAACTTAATACATACATTAGACATTACGTGTTCCTGATGCACATCATTTTATTTTTCAGATCAGATTCAAAATGGCTGACTGGCAGCCATTTTGTTTTAATGATTGGGCTTCTAGAGCCATATCTCTTAAATGCTTTGACAGATTATATTCAAATTTTATATATTCGTTATACATCATGTTATATATATACATGTATTCAAAATGGCTGATTTTGTTTGAATTAATGCTGTTCCAGAGCAATATCTCCCAATATGGACAAGTACTTGTTTGACAATCAGATACAAATGTCAATAATTTTAATGTTAAACAATTATCATAATCATATTCCTGATATGGTTATATTCCAGCTATATTACTATAAACAAAACTATATATCTTAAATTTGATAACTAACTGGGACTGAGCCATGCATGGCTTGTTAATGAATATTTTTGTAATTTTTTGTAAAAAAAATGTTATTTTCGAGATCCTACTCCAATTGTTTAGAAACTTGGTACCGGAGGGTATATGTGTACCATGAATTGTTAATATGTATGTGCACTTGTGATCCAATTCAAGATGGCAGCTTTTTAAAGCTAAAATGCATCAAAATTACACAATTTAATCAGACATTGTGGCATGAGGATTTGTGTCATTTTTCGTACTTGTTTCTAAATAGCAGCAACCGTCTCTAGTTTGTATCTTGTCTGTTATATGAGTGTCACAGTCAGAATAAATAATTAATAAAGACATAAATACCATGTACAGACTATTAAAGAAAGGAATGGTTCACATTTTAATCAGATGAAAGTACTTTATTACCATGTTGGCCGTATGTGCCTCTGAGAGTTTAGGCTTCAATCAATGCATGCATATAATATTAATTTGTATAATTTTGATTTAGGTGATGCAGGCATTCCAGAAAGCTGAAAAATCTCTGAAACCCAGTCCCACGGAGCTATTTGCTGATGTTTATGATGAGATGCCCAAGAGATTACAGCAACAACATGAAGAAATGAAACGTCATGTGGAACAGTACAAGGAATATTACCCAAGTGAAATCTATGAGCCTTTCAGATCATAATCGAAATAATGTGCTCTTAAAGCTCAGTTTGCTGTGTAAAATTAAGCAGGCTACAATGTATGGCCTTGTGTGACTTCCCATACTTATGTGTGGGTGGGAAAGGGAAGGAGTACAAATAATCATTTCTACTAAGTGAAAAAATTGCATATTGAAGTGAAGATTATAACAAAGTCCACTTTTTAAGTTAACATTAATATATTTAGAGCCGTCGCGAAACATTAAACTCATACAAATTCTCATTGAAAAACTGAATGATTTTGTTCACATTTCTTGAGCATGAATGTGGAACACATGTCCACATGCAGCTAGACAACTTGTAAAATTCACAATTACTGCAACAGACTTACCATATTGCAAGACAGTACATTTAAACTGCATATTTTTCACTACAATATCAGAGTATATAAATTATACACATTCTATATATTCAGCATTATGCCGTAAAACCTTGCTTTAACCCACTGTATACAGCCATAGATTTCATTCATATGGCCACGACAATAACTTGCATAATATATTTATATAATTGTACAAAGATGCACTTAGTGGGAGTGGCATCCACATGGGAAATAAGTATAATGAATTGTTAGCTGAGGCTTTTACTATAAAAAGGTTTATGTCGATATACTGTTAAGTGCATGTTCTCATGTGGTTCTTGCACCAAATAACTTTGTGTTGTGTAATCCTATTTTGAACAATTCACAATAAAGTTTTGAAAGCTTGTGGAATTATGATTCTGGTTGGACATGTTTGTAAAACTACATGGGAGATCAGATTTTAAAACAACTATCATGCTTGATGTAACTTACCATATCGTATATTTTATCTTGTAACAAACTACCAAGATTGTGATAACAAATGTAGACAGAAAAATCACCAAGAATATATGAAATGTATAGTGATATTTATTTTGAAGGATTTTAACTACAGTCCCATAGACGGGTCGTATAATCGATTGATCAAGTTGTTTCATTGACATTCATGGTGATTAAAATATTGCTTCTTTTCCTGATCTATTTAACAATAAAATCTTCAAATCGATGTTTGAATTTGGTTTATACTATGTCTGCTATCAAATAGAGAATTTCTAACATTCTACCAGATGATTTCCATATTTTGAAATTTCCTGCTAATTATGAAATTTGACCAATTTTAGTCAATACATTACTTTTCATAGTACATGAGTGGTATGGGTGTATACTCAATATTTTAGGGTAATTAGTCTCATAATTAACGAGTGGCTACTGGTACATTGGTGAAATATAACCATAAATTTTTGGTTCAATATTTTGATTGCTAATTATTAAATGCCACATATCACAAATTTAGTCAATACATGTACGTTTCATACCACACAAATTTTAAAGGTGCATACTCATTATATTAAATAAAATGTTTTGACTTATCAGGTGTATGATGGGAAGAGGAGAAAACTGTCATAATTATGATTTCCATATTTTGAAATTGTGTGTGAATTATTAAATGTCACCTATCACAAATACATGTAGTAGTTAATACATGTATGTTTCATACTACATGAGCGGTATAGATGCAACCCTCAGCAGTTTCAACAAAACATGAGGAATAGTGTATTGTATATACACTTTCAGGGGGAGTGAATACATTTGTTAGAATTGCTCCGTTAAAATGAATATTATCCAATTAAATTATTATATTGTGGTCGAACCATGATTACTTGATGAAAAGGATGTAATAGTGATTCATAGCATTTTTATACCTGCTAGACTGGCTGCTAGCTTCCACTGACTGCTGGTAGTGTGCCTGCTAGCTTCAGCCAAGCTCAAAGGAGTCTGAGAGCCAAGTATACATGTACGCATGATCAGTACGACAGTAGCGGAACTTATTTGAAAGACAAACTTGGTCCAAAACAGACGCTGAAAACATGGCTGTTCGGAACACTTTCTATCAATTTCATGGATTTTCACGCAAGATACTGGTTTCTGGGTCAAACAGATCTCGTATAATGTCGGTAAGTAAACAGTTCAAGCTTCCTTGATATAGTAAAATTCACAATTCTTGGTCAGTTGACATCTCGGATTATTTGTATTGTCCTCAGCTGGGTGACACCTTAGTCATTCGTGACAGATCCTCACACAAGTGTGCAATATGAATCGAACAACAACCATACAATATTGCACGATGCCTTATTAAATTGCAATATATATATGATACACGATAAACAACAGTGCTAGATTGAAGGTATATGTACGAGACCTAGATTCGTGTTAATGACCTCCGCGGCCGTTCGTAATGGTGCCCGTAATTGTAGTATATAAGGTCGCCCTGGATAATTTATGTGAATCGGGCAGGACAAGTTATAGCTGCGGTTTCGTAGCTCTCTATTGCGACTGTCAACTGATTGCTGCCTTTTAAATTTCATTTGGACGTCTTCTCTGTTTGTTTTGTGTTGACAATCGAATATTCGGCCAGCCAGAAACCGACGACCAAAAACGGTCCTCGGGGGACTATGATTGCACAGCAAGACTAGTTACGGACAAGTGTGTCTGTATAAGTTTATTAAAATCACATAATAATTAGTCGATAATGTCGCCGCCCGAGAAAAGTCAATGACATCTATGTATAGTGATAGAGAGACTGTATGTATCTAGGCCAACGAGTATATGCATTTGTGCTATCGACCGCTGTTAACATATCATGAGCATAATTCGACTGCTCTTGACAATAGTACATTTCAAACACGAACATCTTGTACTCATGGCGGCAATATAAGCACTAAATCATTTTTGCAGCAGACGAGTTTTTAATGAAATTCGGTGTTTATCTGGTTGTATAAATATTAATAACTTTGGCTTGTTGTGTGAGAAACTTGAAATCAGCAAGGATTTTATCTGTAAGACTACAGAGGGCGATGTTTTGTTGTCATTGTTGATGTTATAGCATTCACATATATTTATTATTAATCAGTTTGTGATCATGAGAATTTTCAGTATGTTTTTTTTTATCTGATCATCTTCAAATTTGTATGGCAATCCCTATATAGAATATACGTATATCGAATTACTGTCATGTATATAATTTTTATGTACCAAGAAAAATGAGGTTTATCTATCTTGGCATTGGGGTGCTTTCCACTTATTGGCTTTTGAATATATTGTAGGCAGGAGACCATAACCACAATAATGATAGTAAAAGTGGACATGTAGGAGTCTTATAAAATGTAATTATTATACTTGGTATCAATGGAAAAGTTGTTTAACTTCCTATAGATTTATGTACATTTCAATTGATGAATTTAATTCATGACATCACAATGGTGTCATAATGCATAAAAAGTCTACAAATTCCAGACATCTGAATATTAGAGAGTTTGAAGGGTACGGTACCTATGCCAGCTGATATATACGCTAAAATATAATCATAAATCAAAATATTAAAAATTGCTACATTCAAGGCAAACAACTTGACTCGATGTGGCTAGTGCCAAGTTTGTTGAAGCGAAATTGAATATTCACATACACTGTACAAATAATTTAATATTTCTATGTTTCCTATACAGGCTTGTCGATATAAAACAACAGATGCACAAGATCACAAATATAATCCTAAATCTCTAATAGAAGGAACACATTCATTGGTGGACGATGACAAACCCCACTTTCCTGGAAGTTGGAAATCCCGTTATGTGGACAAACTGGAATTGATAAAACCTGAACTACACGAAGGAATACCAACATACCGAGTGTTGAACTGGGATGGTGATATTGTGAACCCAAAAGAAGAACTAAAACTGGGAAAAGATTTGATACTTAAAATGTACAAAAGTATGGTAAAACTGCATAGTATGGATGATGTTATGTTTAATTCTCAAAGACAGGTAAGTCACCATGTGCTGCGTAGAACACGATTTAATAATAATCAAATTTATCTATTAATTAATGAATGATAGGGGGAAAACTGGATCCTTTCCTACATAATAATATTAATAAAAATAGGTTACTGTATAAAGTAGGTATTAAAGTTTGCAGAATTCAAGTATGTTTTTGTACTTATTACCATAGTAACCCATTAGTGGTTAAAAAAAAATTGATGATTTTCTTCAGCTGCATTTATAGAAATAGCAGCATAGAAATATATCAAGAGTTTAAAAATGGAAAGTGAATGCCCCATTCATGTGATTGCTGACACAGATAACAGCGTATATAGTTCATTATGCCTGTGAGTTTTCTTAACCTTTTCATCACCAGTTTCACTCTTTCATCACAAAATAAGCCTGTTTATAGTCTGCTCTTTCCTTCTTACAGCAAGTCTCAGAAATATTGGGGCAGCCAATTTGCAAACTCGCTAGCGAATTGGCTAACTGCTTTGGTTTCGACTAAACGGTTGGCTTCCGAATCTGGCTGACACCGTCTTGCGGTAACGCCCACTTAAGACGAATTTATGTGACAGTAGTGGACATTCCTCATACTTTAGGAGCTAATCAGCGACTGTCTTACTGTTGGATGGCGATTTCGCTTTCAAATATACCAGCGATTGGCTTAATGTTACCCCAACGGATCGTTTGAGTGTGAAAGTTTGTTATTGTTTCCCTGATTTGTAGGAAACTGTTTCTCAACTTGTCTATTTAGTTTCAAGCAGTGTTCAAGAAGGTTAACTTCATATAATAAATATCGGTGGATTAATCGCATTTATAATATTATCACGCCAGCTGACTGTGGCCATTTTCGGGCTCAAATCATTCAGGGGAATCCAGACATGTACCAGGATGCGTTAAAAACATTCTGTGTCCCCTAATGCATTAGACTCGCCAAGAGTGGACGCGATCACTAGCCGGCGCCAGCGATATTTGAAAGCCAACTGTTTAGTCAAAACCCAAGCAGTTAGCCAATTTTAATATATTTTGGCAGTCACACTTCTGCATTCATGTTGGCATTTCTAAATTATTATTTTAAAAGCATGTTAAAAGTTTTTATGTTTGTGTTGATGATAATGATGTTTAACATTATCAATGTTATTATTTGACCACAGGGGCGTTTAAGCTTTTACATGACAGCTAACGGTGAAGAAGCCATTCACATTGGAAGTGCAGCCGCTTTAGATAATGAAGATGAAGTATATGGTCAGTATAGAGAACAAGGCAAGTGCACATATCCAACTGATTGACTCATGACTTCATTTTTAAAATACAGTTTTTTCAAAAGTAGATATGTCAAGTCATTATGAAATTCATGGTACTATTTCACCATTCATTTCTTTGACATTTTCTGCTGACATTGAAGCTGTTTTCCAACCAAATCATTATCATGCCAAAAATTATTATTATGCCAAAAAGCAATGCCAAATTTCCTTTATGGTGATAATAAATTATTCTATTCTATTCTATTCTATTCTATTCTATTCTATTCTATTCTATTCTATTCTATTCTATTCTATTCTATTCTATTCTATTCTATTTATAGCATCGCAGTGACGTCAAAACTTCACGTGAGATTTAACAACTACTGTAAACCATGTTGAAATAACTATATGCTGTTTTAGCGAATTTGACTTAATGCAAAAATTAACATAATCTTTCTTTATCTCATTGTACAAATATACTTTATTTTAAATTAGTGACATCTTGAATTAGCTAAATTATGGATTACCCGGGTAGCTGAATTGGCTAAAATAACATGCTAGCTAAAAAGACATATTAATGCATTTTAGGGCACTTTCACGCTTAATAAAGTGCAATACACATTTGATGGTGGTCAATTTTTGCCCCATTTCTCTCTTGAATGGCATTCCGACATTGAACTATAGAAAAAAGAAGTTCTAAATCAAATCATTTGATTTTTGCAGCTGACGCAATAAATGTAAAATCACCATTTTCACAACAATTCATCCATAATTTTCAGAAATGAAAAATCATTCCCCGGATTACTGTTTCCATGGCACTGAGATCCCTAAATTAATCGATTGGTCCTTGGTTCAAGGGCAACCTAACTTCAAAAAAAATAGAAGTCATGATGTTTTGAGTTATAATTGATTAATACAAATGTACTTCCCGAAAATGTTTCCATGGTGACTGAATCCTTATCTCTGCCAAGATATAATCAATTGGTTCCTGTGTCAAAAGAAACCCCTCCTGAAAATGTTGAGTTTCCATCAATAACATTTTTAGATATAATTGACAGGCAGACTAACAAAGACATTTAAATTTAGTGTGGTCAATGTATGTATTTCATATTCTATTTTATGTCCTTTTTAGGTGTTCTCATGTGGAGAGGTTATACACTTGATGAATTTGTGGATTTGTGTCTAGGCAATGAGTACGGTCATGGTAGAGGGCGCACTAATCCAACGCTGTATGGTTCAAAAGAACTGCACTACATCACGCTTTCAGCACCATTGTCAACTGAAATGCCCCAAGGTGAATGACATTGAAATGCACTAACTAGGTTGTATTAAGAGTTACATTCATGGTACGCAATTGGGAATCTAAGAATATATATTACATATATTAGATATATGTTATATATAGATAATGTTTTGTGATAAATATGTTTCAAATATTACTTCGGCGTTATAGTATAATTTAAGGTAGACCGATCTTAGCTACATTTAATATTCCAACCATGATTTCAGCAAGATGTTTTGTGTTTTGGTAGACTTAGGTCAAATATATTCTAAAATACATACCGTATTTATCCGGGTATAAGCCCAGGGTCCTGAACATGGAAAATTGCCAAAAAGAAGGGGTGGGCGTTTGCCAGAAGATCCCCGGCAAAAAAACAGGAAAATTCGCGAAAATTGACAACACACAGATTGAACTGTGGCAGGGAATAGAACGGCAAATGAAAACATGCAACGGAAATAAATGAACAATATGCAACACTAGAAGTAAAACAAAAATAATGTAATGCTTATAATGTGACAAATAAACCAGAAATAATAAAAATCGACAGTGAGGAATCATTTGAATTAGGATTTTCCCGCCAACAAACACGCCCAATACGCGTGAACTCAAAATGAATTAAAATGTCAGGGGTTGAACTGCGTAAAATGATTTCCGGTCTCGGCAAATTACGAATCGACCGTCATACAAGATCGAAAAAAAATTCATAGCTGTTTGAAAAAAACTTCTCAGATCTTTATTTGTACGTTCATTGCCATCTTCGTCAAACTCAAAACCCTCAAATGTCCAAGTCGGCGTCACTGTAGCCGTCGAACAAAATCCTTACAACTTATTCCTGAAGTTCGTCGATATCGTCCAACACAATTTGGACTTAGCACTTTTAATCCACGGATTTCGCAGTCTGTCAGCTTGGCATTTTTTATTCATGTCTAATCATAATAAAAAGACAAGAAAAATGGGGTCGCTCTGCTGCGATGGCACGCGATGCTTTTGTTTACAGTCTGGCAATCATCTTTGACCTTTATGCATCTGCTTTACTGATTGGCTACGAATGGCATCACTACTAGTATTTCATCATAAAGGTCAAATAGTGACATTGCTTTCTTATCAGACTCAACGCTTATTAATCACGGTGAAAGTTATCATTCAGCAAGTTCCGTCGGTAGGAATGTCTCACTATATGGATATCGCGGGGGACTTGAAATAGGAAGTTTTTTTTTATCTAAGGACAGAAGAATAGTTTTCATGACAAAAATGCAATAGCGGTGATAAAAGATGGTAAAAAAGTTGGCAGTCTTCGGCGTGACATTGCAAAATTGCTGGCCCAAGTTATGGATTCGCAAGCTGCTACAAAATATTTATAAAGCCAAAATAACGCGATTTCAACCAATCTCCCAGGTACGGGTTGCTACAATATTGCAACATTGTTTTCATTGTCGACGACGCTAAAGCCGAACGAGTGCGACACTTGCTTAGCGGCTCTCCTTATACGATTTGCTTGAATCGTTTCTAAGGAAGCACAAACAAAACCGCCGGCCCTTTTTAGGGCCACGGCATATTTCAAAAAGAGAAGTATCACGACAGACTTCAAGAAACTCAACTAACTGTTAATACAACCACAGTCAACGAATGGAAAATAGTTTTTTTGTTTTGTGTAGTAAAAGACCCCCTGGGCGTGTGCACGGATATGACCTCAACTTCTTTATTGTGTCAAAAGTGGGGGGTGGGCGTTTGTCCAGGCATGGGCTCTTACCCGGATAAGTACGGTATATACCATTAGTTTGTACTTGTATTAACTTATATATTGACAACGAATCTACCCTTTGCTTGTATCACTTAGCTGCTGGCTATGCATATGCTTTAAAAAGATCTGGATCCAAAAACTGTGTTGTGTGTTTCTTTGGTGATGGTGCAGCCAGTGAAGGCGATGCACACGCAGGCTTCAACTTTGCTTCAACACTTGAAGTACCTGTCATTTATATTTGGTAAAGTATACCTGTAACATCATGAAACTTTTACAGGAAATGAGGGCATACAGTTGACCTGAAATTAATCATTAAATTATGATAGAAGTATACCATTTCATATGGGAGGTTTATCCTGTAGTGAAAGTCTGTGATGTTTTGAATATTGAAATTTCAATAATTGTCAGTGACATGCATTTGAATATATACTTTCAAAAAATTAAATTGAGAAATATAACACCAATCTACAACTGGAAGTGTATTGTACATCCATGCAAATATGTTAATGTAACTTTACGATGTGAAGTGTTTACCGTTCATTATATGCGTGGCCGCTGATTCGCACACCTGACGACTACACATTTTGTGGTAATTATTCTCATGGTTTTTTTCCCAAACATCCCACAGCCGTAATAATGGATATGCCATTTCAACACATTCATACGAACAGTACCATGGAGACGGAATTGGTATGTATATACAGTGATTTAATGTCATTTTCGAAATATGTCAACGTATATTACTTACTTTGTTACAATGTGCTCTTATATTATCCAAGTATACTCAATCTAGGCTATTTTCTCATAGCTGCCAGGGCGTCAGGTTATGGAATATGTGCAATACGAGTGGATGGTAATGATATGTTGGCTGTGTACAATGCCATTAAAGCTGCTAGAGATATCGCATTATCGGAAAGTCGACCAGTAATTGTCGAGGCTATGACATATAGGTGAGATTATTATTTGGGGGGATATGCCATGTTAAGTAAACAATTCAACCAATTAATACAATGCCATGCACATATTAGGTGAACAATTCAGCCGTGTGATAGTATACCATGCCCATATTAGGGCAAAACTTCATCATAAAAGGGGAGCAGAGGTTTGGCTTTTGTCGCTCTGTACATGAAATTTGAGATCTATGAATGAATTCTGACAATAAAAACAACTTGGTATGTGCTGCGAAATGCCCTCAATATCGAGTATAAAACGGGCTGTGAAGTAGACAACAAACGACCTGGCGTCATTTCGCCTCTAGATGGCCAGTCAATGACGTCATCTGTGAACACTGATAATTGAACCCATTCATTCTAGTACGTCAATCTCATTTAAAAGTTGAATGCGTATGAATGCCATAACGATTCATGTTAAGTTTCTTGAAATCCCAAATGAAATCCCAGTGTATCACAACTGAGACATATTTTAATATTGTGAACTTTGGAATGTTGATTTATTGGTGTTTAGGGTGGAGGCCATGGGGTGAGTGGTTCCAAAATGTTACTGCATATCCAGCATTCGAGGACCATATATGCCAGAACAAGCCCTGTTTATGATTGGGGCTGACATTGGGCAGTTTGTGGAATTGATACTACCGATGCCATAACTGACAACGTCATAACTGACAATAAACAAAGGCACAGTTTATGCAGGACAAACAGATCAATGTCAATCTGCAGGTTGACACTGTTTTGATAGATAGAGCAAATTCAATTGCTTTAACTAACTAACTAACTAACTAACTAAAGAGCATCACATAATTACAACCAATTTCACCATTCTCTAGTCTCTAATAATGTGCTACAATGTAGGGTTCAAGTTGGGAGACACAAATGGTCCACCTCTCCCTGGTCTCTTGTATTTTAAGTCCTCGTTCAGGTGCAGCAGTGTTAGTATGTATGTATATCTATATGTTCCCAGCATTTATTCAGAGAAATTCTGCTGCAAATATCAATCAAACTTGGCATGTAAATGAAGAATAATTTGTTAGATCCACTCAGCAAATTTGTTCCCAAGTCTGAGTATTCTAAGTAGGCTATTTTTTCATAATTTTCACTGTTGATCAGTTTAGCCCAAACCCATTAAGAAGACTCGCATAACAAGTATGCATGCTCAATACAACTAATACTATGGGATATTTTTTGGAAAGCATATGGTGTATATTTCTTGAAAAATATTTGCTGGACATGTCAAATAAGTATAATAGTCCAAAACTAAAAACTAGCTAAGCTGTAAATTACGGTTCATACCACTGCTATACTACTGTTTTTAGCTCCGCTGTCGACTTTGTCGAGCGGAGCTTATCATATGAGTGATTGTTCGTCCGTCGTCGTCCGTGTCAATGTTTTACTTTTTCGACTTCTTCTTGAAACCTACAAGCCTGAATGCTTTGATACTTGGTGTATATGTACCTTGGGTAGACCTCTCTCAGATTTGTTCATTTCATGATGATATCTTTAATTCTCTAATTTTGGTGAATATTTTTGTCATTTTTAGTAAAAAGTGATATTTTCAACTTCTTGTTGAAAACCGCAAGTCCAATTGCTTTGATATTACATATATAGGTACTACATGTGGACCTCTCTCAGATTTGTTCATTTTGTAATGATATCTTTAATTCTCTAATTTTGGTGAATATTTTTGTAATTTTTGGTAGAAAGTGATATTTTCGACTTCTTGTTGAAAACCGCAAGTCCAATTGCTTTGATATTACATATATAGGTACTACATGTGGACTTCTCTCAGATTTGTTTATTTTGTAATGATA